CTGCCAGCTTCTGCCACCCTGCTCCACCGTGTCCCCATGCGGGACGGGCATGAGAGAAGGGGCTCAGTCCCAGACACGGGAGGAGACAGGGACCCAGAAAGCCTGGTAAGTGCAAAGTGGCAGTGGAGGGAAGCCTAGGATAGGAAAGCCTGAAAGCTGGGTTTAAAAAGGATTTCCAGCAGGATATAAAAAGGGGTTCTAGCTCTGCCAGGTCTGCCCTGAACCCAGAGTTCAGGGTCCAGCACCACCCAGACCCCTTTAAATCCTACAGAGGAGGAGGAGGTAATCCGAGCTGCAGGTGGGAAAGCCACTGCCCTGTGCTCATCCCAGCAGTGGAGAACCCCTCAGCATCCCCCCCCCCCCCACCCCAGGGCTGGTGTAAGCCATGTCCCCTGAGTGCCACGCTGCGAGGAGCCAGCTGTGCCCCCGGGTGCCCACCCACAGCCACCCATCCAGACACAACATGAATCACCGCCAGCAGCACCTGCTCGCAGGGGAGGGATGGAAGAGAGCATCCAGCCAGCCGGAGCGGGCAGCGGGCAGCCCTGCCCACAGCACAGGGCCTCCGTGGTCCGCTGATTGCAGCGAGGTGGGCGCAGCGGTTACAAAATGTCCCCCATCCCTCTCTCCATGATCCAACCTCAGCCCCACGCACACACAATATCCCCGTTTACAATCCCTGCCAGGGAAAAGTCTGTCGGTGGCACACGGAGGCTCCCCGGGCAGGGGATGGTGGGGCAATGGGCATGCCTTGACCCCGCTTCCCAGGCCTGGGGGGGCACCCCCACTTCCCGGCTCTCACCTCCCGGAGATGCTGCTGCCGAATCTTCTTCATCTCAGAATCCTGTTGCTATGCGCTCCCTGCTCCGACACTTTTCCCTCTCGCTTTCTTCGGCGATAGGGAGGGAGAAGAGGGAGCGGGCGAAGCGATAACAGGCAAGGAGGGGTGCCACTTCCCTGCAGGTGGAGGGAGGCAGGGGGGACGGGAGGAGCAAGGCTGGAGGAAAGGTTTGCCTGGAGTTGAGGATGGCTGCGTGCTGAGCAGGGAGGGAACGGCTCTCCGCAGGCTGGAGAAGGGCTGTCTGTCAAACGCACCCCTGTTTGGATGTGGGGGGCGTCTGGGACCTCAGCCCCCCACCGAGGCAGCGAGGAGGAACGGCTGCTGCCTTATTCATGTCATGAGTATGCCAGGTCTCACTAGGGATGGACCTGACTTTGCAGGCACCCTGCCACTGGGCACCCTGGGGGGTTCCATGTGCCCCAAGCAGTGTTGGCAGCAGTGCAAGTGCAGATGCCAGAAGGTCCCAGCACCTTTCTGTCTGACTCTGAGCTGATTTTCATATGGAAGGACATGGCTGGAGCCTGAGCAGGTCAGCAGTGACTTCCCCTTGTGCTGCCCGTGCCCAGTCCTCATCCCAAGGAAGGGGGATGCTCAACAGCCGTCAGTTCCTTTGGATAGGACCAGTGCATCCCACCGTGCTGGGGAAAAGAGCAATCCTTGGACAGACCCCAGGGTGAGCAGCTGAGTTGAGCACATCGTGGGCCCAGTGCTGGAGCACAGATCACATCTCCAATGTTCAGACATCCCTGTTGAGTCAGCTATGGGATCCTACAGCCTCAAAGCCCAGGGAGATACAGGCTTTTCCCTGTCACGTTCAGTCAAATCCCCAATGAGGTGGCAGACAGCTGATCTGTGGCTTCTCCTCCCACTTTCATGGTGGGAAATGTCCCCTGTGGAGCTGCAAGAGGGAACAACCCCACATGCCCCAGGGCCAGTGTGGTACCAGGAGAGCTGCTGTCTGCCTCAGGACAC